AACCTCATGAAGACTTGCTTATCATTATATAAACATCCCTTTATTAACAGTAATATTAAGAGGAAAGATGTGGTAATTCTACTAACTTTTAAAGGATATAATACTTTAAAAATTTTTTCAAATTAATAGTTATATAAATATTAGATTATCAGCATTCCTGATAACATGATTTTAACTAATCTCCTGAAGAATATATAGGTGACCCTTGAACAGCATGGGTTTGAACTGTGGATTTTTTTCAATAAATATGTACTACAGTACTACACACACTATGGTACCACCTGATCTGTGGTTGGCTGAATCCACAGATGTGGAACCACAGATATACAGGTCCAACTGTAGAGTTATACTTGGAGTTCTGACTGTGCAGAGGGTTGGAGCCCCTAGCCCCCACATTACTCAAGGATCAATTGTAATTTTAACTATTCTCTTTTTGAACTAATCAAGTACCATGTGACCCTGTAATATATTAAAGGTGTCAGTGATCAGTCAAACACAAATACAGGATGCTAACCCATTCCCTGTTCTCCATGACTTGCCTGAAGGGCAGGGAACATTGTTACTGGAAAAAAAGAAGAACATTCAAAACATGTTAAAAGAAGAATTTATACACTAAAATATACTTGGATTAAAAAAAAAACAAAAAAAAACCTAATGTCAAATCATAAAACGATGAGTAGACCAAAGAAATCCAATTCAGAATTTCAATATAACAAAATAAAGCTAACCTCAAAATCAGATAATACTACAAGCAAAATAACAAGATTTTGCCTTATAAAAGACAAAATATAAAAGTGACCATACCATGTTTATATGGTTATAGTAAACAAAAATCATGTAGGATATAATTAATTACTCAAGTCCAAGTGCAATTAACTAAATGATCCACCTACTCTTTATAAGTTCCTGTTTCAGTGTCTTCCGTCATGACGTCATGTAAGCCCTCCACTGAGATATTTATAATCCCACAGAATTTATCTTGGATAACACTAGAATAAAAAAAGAGCAAAACAGGTTAAACTGTAGTATTTCAACAGGTAATTCCTTTTTTTTTCTTTTCCTAATTATCCTCTTGAACATAAAGAGAAATTTTAGTCTAAAAATATAAAAGAAACCTTCAAAATAAACTTCTTAAGCCAGGAATTGTACTTTGCATATTACACTAAAATTTTCTTTCACTAGATTATTAGTATGTTTAAATACCTAGATGGGTAGATTAGATGGGAACAAGATATTTTAATATTCTTTAATTTATCATAATAGTCTTATGTTTATGTTATAATTAGAAAGATAAAGGTACAAAATGTTGAAGATTAAAAATCTTTACTCTTCTAAAGAAAAAGACAAGTCAAAGAATGGGGTTCAAGTATCAGTAAAACATACATCTGATAAAGGACTTTGATCTGGGATATAGAAAAGAACTCTGAAAACTCAGTAAGATGACAAATAGCTCTATTTAAAAATGGGCAAAAGCTCAAAAAGACTTCTCCTAAGAACATATACAGATGGCATATGAGTACCTGAAAAAATGCTCAACATCATTAGTCATCAGAGAAATGCAAATTAAAAGTACAGAAAGATTTTAATTAAAGTAAAATTAAGAGGACTGACAATACCAAGTGCTGGAAAGGATGAGAATGGGGGTGATGGCTATGTTCTCCATCCTGAGTATGGCAGTAGTTACATACTGTATACATTTGTCAAACTGTATGCTTAAAAGAAGTTTTACTATGTATCAACTATATCTTAAAAAGCCTGACTTTAAAAAAGCAGAAGTACATAACCTTCCACCGGCACACAAAATTATGCTACATGAATTTAAAACTAATTGAATAAATTATGACTCCTGTCTCCAGGGAACTAACAGTATCATTCCTACAAGGGACATATTGTGTTTCTCATACGGCATTAAAATGCATTATTAAGTTTCAAAATGTTCAGTAAAGCAGTTCCCAATGTCAACACAATTTGGGTCATGCTCCCACCTCTATAAAGTCAAAATCTTTCGTTTATACTTTCAAATGTGATCAGATTTTACAGAACTATTGTACCAGATGGGCAAAATAATTAAGTTGATATCATTCTGTTACATTTTAACGTGCATATAACACTCTATTGCAAGAGCATATATTTTTGATATTACATTTCCTTCACATAAGTACTAAAAAAAATCTCTACAGAAAGAAACATATACAACCTGCTTTATTTGGTTCAGTGAGAAACACCTTAGAAAAAGAATTAGAAACCAAGATTTTGCAATAAAAGTTCAGCCACTATGTGATCCTACTGAAGTTAATTCACTTCTCTAGATGTTGCTAAGTGTAGGCTGGACTCGGGGGTGGCAGGTACACTGGGGCGGGCAGGAATACAGCCGTTTTCCCTCCCTACTGATGAGTACCTCACCACTCATCCATCACAGAAGCTAGGGCAGTCACGGCCTGAGATTCCTTTTTAACACAGCAGTATTCTGGACAGCTAAGGTGAAGAAGACAAAAGCCCTCAATTCTTCTGTAGCTTTCAAGGCTCTTTACCAGGCCTTTATGTTCAATATTATTCAGGGACAGCTCACTCAGGCAGCTGTCTTCTCTACTCAGACCACTCTAAGCATCAACCCCATACTTTCTGGGACTGGAAATTTCCCAGGAAATCAATGGAATTTGTGAGTACTGTGTATTTTCTCAGAAGACCGATTATGAATTTTCCTAACAGATAACTGACAACCTGAGTGTGACCATGTTCTACTATGTGGGGTAATATTAATTAAAAGGGAGTGTAGGAGAGAAAGATAAAAAATGGTGTAACTTGACAACAAGCTCATTTGATTATAGGTTTTACTTCAAATTATCATACTGATCAATGCTGGCACTACTAGCATGGACACATATGCTTCTGAGGAGAGAGTAACAAGTTCTCTTTGCCATAATTAGAAAATGATACAGTTCTAGAGCACTGGGCCTCCACTAAGACATGCACACTCACGAACTACGCCTTCAAGGCTGAGAACAGACTCTAATCATCAAATCGCAGCATGGATGAGATAAACCTTCGACGGCACAACTCTTGCCAAAAGCAGTAACTGGGCCCCTCTGTCATAAATGAGATTGTTCAGATGACACTGCTGCAACCAGAACAGCCTGAAAAGTTCTGAGAGAAACCTAATGGGTTCAGGAACCTGAGACTGACAGAAAGCCAAAAGACAGAATCAGTGAAGGACTGACAAAAGGAAGTATTAAGAAAAACAGCACATAGAAGAAGGGATAATGATATTCACAGAAGCAGCCTGAACACAGGCCAGAGGATACACGTTCAGCACGCACATGGTGGTCAGGAAGAGAGACTATTGTCCTGGCCCATGCTTACTCAGGCCTGGAGGAGAATTCAGCCGGGTGATCTCCGGGGTTCGCCCTCCCTCTTCCTGCCCCTGCTTCCAGCTGGATTTCTAGTGCTACCAAGTGAGAGGCTTGGACAGTCTAGTAGCGATGAGATCAGAGAGGGGAGGCAACCTCAGTCAGCCAGCCAATCAATCTTTTCACTGAAATGTGACCCACGCTGCACAGAAAAGGACACAAGAGGCAGAGATCTAGCTGGAGGGTAAGAGGTGGGGCTTAATTCCAGCGGACCGGGAACCGTGCTGACCCCGGAGTGCCTATTAAGTGCCAGAGCAGGTGAGGCTTGCATTTCAAGTTCAGATAAGGCGAAAATGACTATGACCCAGACTAGAAAGGTATAAAAATCTGGCTTTGAATGAAGAGTTGACTCTAGAAAAGGAGAAGGCCTGAAGGAAAAGGGGATCCCATGCCTCATTTTGGGATCAGTAAAAGGAGAGGTTATACAATGACTATCTTCAGAGCAATCAAGTTCAAAAAGTACTCCAAAAAATGCAGCTCAGTTACCACTCATTAAGCAGTCTGGGAAAAGCACTCCCAAATAACAGGAATAACAAAAAGCCAAAAGCGGCTAGGACTTTCCTGGAACACAGAACAGACATTATTAAAGAAAACAAGCATTAAGAAGTTATGAATTCTTTTTCCCCTTTCTAAAGTATTATAAAAATGCTCCTTCCAGATGTGTAAATGTAACATTTTAAAATGAAACCTCTAAAATAAATTTCTTTTATAGAGAGCATTATTTATGAAGTTTTGAATATTAAGACTTCATTTTCCTTTTTATTCACACAATACTCTCTCAACCATCTTTTATAAATCAAGAATCAATCTTGGTTTTTGTAATATATAATCTTTCTGAATTAAATGCTTTAAAATGTAATTAGACATCTAAAATGGAAATAATCAAAAGAGAGCTATAAACTGGGAATGAAATAATAGGTTTGGAGGAAGAAAGGGAAGGAGAAAAGTCACTGTACTTAGATAACCTAATATACATTATTTCTTTAAATACAACAAGCCAAGAACTAGATATTAATTTTTTATGAAAACAGTGCAGTTTTTCCTTCTAAATGTGTTAATATTGGGAGCTATGAGTAATACTTTACTGGAATTCTCAGTGCATCATCCTCTAATAGTAGTCTTCTCGTGTCCATCCATTCAAATCGATGTCAGGTACAACATGGGGGAAGTAAAGGCAGCCAGAGGAAACCATGTAATTTTAGATCTCACTCAGTTCTTAACCTCTTAAATCAGTGCTTACCAAGAAGTGGCAAGTCACACTAACTAGCACACAGCAATCTGAAAGAATTAGCCAAACTCCCTGCTAGTCTATACAGTGGTCCCTCGATTCTTCTCTTCTCGATCCACAGATGTTCAAGTCCCTTATACTATAAAATAATAGTATGGTTGGCCCTCTGTATTCATGGACATGGAACCCGTGGACAGTTTCTACAGCACAGTAGAAAAAACAGCATTCAGGAACTTTAAAACAAAAATTGACTACTGATCATTCCAGACAAAACATTAATTTGGTGTGGACCCATAAGACTTCAGAAGACTGGCTTACTGAGCATTAATAAGTAGGAGGTGGACCGGGATACCAACTAATTTACAAAGAAAGTCATGATTAGAATAAGTGGTCATATTCACAGAATACAAACTTGTGGTTGCCAAGGGGGAGGGGGGTGGGAAGGGATAGACTGGGAGTTCAGAATTTGTAGAGAGTTCAAAATATGTACTGACAGGCATATGTAGAATAGATAAACAAGATTATACTGTATAGCACAGGGAAATATATACAAGATCTTGTGGTAGCTCACAGCAAAAAAGAATGCAACAATGAATATATGCATGTTCATGTATAACTGAAAAATTATGCTCTACACTGGAATTTGACAAAACATTGTAAAATGACTATAACTCAATAAAAAATGTTTAAAAATAAATAAAGAAGTGGTCATACTACCCGGGCCAATTCTTCCTGGTGAATAGGTCATCATGGTCAAGTTCATTCATTTTGGTCATCATTTTAGGAGCCCATAAAATGTGTTACACATCGTGATAGGTCCCAGGGATAAAAAAAAGATGGCTACTTCAGGGAACTCAGAAACTAAAGGAAGCTTAACGTCTAGTGCATATACTTTGAATGAAGTGTGCTACACATCTGAACGTTACCTGTTCTCTAATTCAAAGGAAAAAGACTGAGAAAAGCTGTACTCGGGAGCTCATTATGGGCTAAAAATCTGCAGGAAGAACAAACAAATTAAGCAACAAATGGGATGTTCTTTTTCTGTTTTAAGTCAAGTTATGGTATCTTAAATAGCTGCCTTTCTCAATTTTACAGGTTATTTCTGACTTATTTACGGCATTTGTCTAAAGTTAGTCAGAGAATCCTGTTGTCCGGATGGCACTGAAGAAGCACCACTGGCTAATCACTCCTCTCTAATACTCTTCACTGGCTCCCAGACACTGGATCATTCTACTATCACCTCAGGTTGTAGAATTTCCTAGTTAACTCATCTTTCACTTACTGCATTAGGACAGATGCTCCTCCTAAAGGAATCCCAATTATGATATAAACTTCTTTTCAGTTCACAATGCTA